AGCTTAAAAATGAAAACACACACCACTGGAAACCAATTTTCTTCCTCATTTAACACTGTAATATGTAGTTTCTGATGAGTGTTTACAAGAAAACTATTCCCACATTAATTCTAATTGAACATAAATCTGGTGTATAGTGTTAGATGGTTTATAAATGTCTAATCACTATGCTGTACACTGAAACTAATATTGTATGTTAACTGTAATTGAAAAATAAAACTTTTATAAAAATAACACATATCTGAAAAGTACCAATCATGAATTAAGAGTTACTATTAAATGAGAACTAAATATGCATACAATTCATATAACAAATTTGACAAGTTACTTAAGTTTATCTTTATTCCCCAAATCAAAACTGATCAAAACTTTCTGGTTTGAGATTGCAGCTGCAAATCAAAGCTATGTGATTGGCAATGATTGCTTGCAAAAAAAAAAAAAAAAAAAGAAAAGAAAGAAAAAAAGAAAAGAAAAAGATTCTTTCCAGTTTAAAACTATTAATGTTATTTAAAAATGACAAAGCAATGCATAAACATTAGAGGTTTAAAAGCATTTCAGGATTCATTACACCTAAATCAAAATTATATAGAAATTAAAATAAAAGCAGTAGCAGTAGCAAACATATTAAGAGTTCAATGGAAAAGGTTTCAGACCTACTTATTTAACTATTGATTATCTTGGCCTTCTTATCTCTTTCTACCACTAACAGATATTATGGCCCATTGTAAAAATTCGAAGTTAAATTTTATTTACATATAACTTAGTATTAAAATTAGAGCTCCTCTTAATCAATGTTTTATTTTAGATGGGATAGAATAACTAAAACTTTTAACCAAATATTTTAAACTGTAACATACAAGTAGAGGAAAAACAAAGGTTCTATATGTATAAATCTAGGGAAATGGTCTTGTGTAAGCATGTGGGTTCTGAAGTCAGGTTGCCTGAGTTAAAATCTAGATTCTGCTGTTGACTAGCTTTGTAACCCAGTGAAATTATTTCACCTCTTTAACCTCCCGTCTATGAAATGAAAGTAAATACTGTACATTGTAACTATGAGACTTGAATGAGACCTCTATGTAAAGCACACTGGGCATTATAAGCACTTGATAAGATTTACAATTATTCTTTAACTATTAGCACAAGTATGATCATATCTTCTACAACTTTTATGGCTTCAACAGGGAAGAAGGAAGTGTATGTCCCAGGCATCTAACTCTGATTGTCTTTTACACATGTGCACACACACTCAAATACATTTTCTAGTAAATGCATTACTCATTATGCAGAACGGATGCTATGGACTTGCTATGGTCTAGGTGTCTGTGTCCTGCCCCCCCCCCCAAACTCATATGTTAAATCCTAATGTCCAATGTGATGGTATTAAGAGGTAGGGTTTTTGAGAGGTGCCTAGGTCACAAATGTGTAATCCTCAGGAATGGAATTAGGGCTCTTATAAAAGAGGTACTACAGAGCTCCCTCGCCCTTTCCACCATATGAGGACAGAGAAAGAAGTTGTCAGTCAGCAACACAAAGAGGGCCTTGACCAGACCCTGACCAAAACGGCATTCTGATCTCTGATTCTAGCCTCTAGAACTCTGAGAAATAAATTTCTGTTGTCTATAAGCTACCCAGTCTATGCTACTTTGTTGTGGCAACCTGAAAAAAATTCATATGCTGAGGCCCTACCACCCTATGTAATGGTATGAAAGCAGAGCCTTCGGAAGGTAATTAGGTTCAAGTGAAGTTATGAGGGCAGGGCTGTAACAATGGGATTAGCGTCTTTATAAAAAGAGACGTGTGAGAAGCCAACTTCTCTCTCTCCAACACTTGAGGACATAACAAGAAGGCAGTCATCTGAAAGTCAGAAAGAGAACCCTCATCGGAATCTGACCATGCTGGCAAACTGATCTTGGATATTAAAGCTCTCCAGAACTGTGAGAAAATAAATTTCTATTTAAGCAATCCTGTCTATGGTATGGTATTTTTGTTCTGGTAGCCGAAGCTGACTAACACAGGTGGTATTTTGAATGTTTAAATGCATTCAGGGGACTTCCAGTCAGTATGACAGCACAGGTAAACATCGTGTGCCACCTCATACAACCATATCAAAATTACAACTAAATTATAGAACAATCATCACTCAGAACCGTCAGAAATCAAGCTGCATGGAAGCCTGACAATTACAGAATTAAAAAAAAAATACATCCTTCCAGGCTGGTAAGAAAGGCAGAGACGCAGAATGGGCCAGTCTCACATCCATGTGTGGTAGATAAAAATTTGGGAGGAATATCTCAGGAGCAAGGAGTCACAGCCCCACACCAGGCCCCCAGCCCAGGGTTCCAGAGCCAGGAAGATTAAGTCCCCATAATTTCTGGCTGCAAAAACCAGCAGGGACTCAGTTGGTGGAAGAAACTTCTGGAGTCCCAAGCAGTTCCTCTTAAAGAACCCATATACCGACTTATGCACACTCCCTCCCTCTGAGCGCCAGCACCAGGGTAGCAACTTTAAAGACACCAGTGGCATACAGAGAGGAAACAAAGTGTCTGGCATCAAGGTAAATGCTGGGGGACAGTTTTCTCCCAGAAAGAAAGGTGGACAGAGGCTAATGTCCCTATTCTAAACCCTCCCCACACAGAGCCACAGAGCCAGCAGGCAGGTGCCATAACCCTCAACCTGGCTGACACCATTTGCCCTGCCCTGGGGATCACTTGAAGCTCTGTCCCACCCAACTTTCAGCTGTTAACAGTGGCTTTTCCATATGGAAAATGGCTGGTTTGGGCTCATGCTTCATAACTTCCTAAATCTTTTCAAACAAGCATAAGCTAGCCTCAGTGAGCCCCCAGCCTCTGTACCTCTTGCTAAGTTGTCCCAGGCCCTGTACTAGCAGCAGCCAGCCTAGATTCACAGCTTGGCTTCACCTAGGAATCTCCCAGCCCAGCACAAGTACCAGCCACCTTGGATTGCTTTATAGCCCATGCAGGGTGGCCCCAGGTAAAACACAGGGGGTGCTGACCTTGGCCTGCACCATCTGGGAAACCCCTGGGCCTACTCACCCAGTGGACAGCTACAGACCGCCTTGGAGCACTACCACCCTGACCCTGCACATAGCTGATTTTCCATGGAGGGTGGAGGTTGGTGGTCAGTGGTCACAGCCAGTCCTTGCGGCTTACTGGCCTGAGTAAATCCCTCCCATTGACCTATCAGTAGCAACCAAGGCTCAACTACAAGAGGAAGATGTAATCAGGCCACATGAACGGTGCACCTTGAGTACCCAGCTTGAGTGGTAAGGGAGGCTGTGCCACTGGATTCTACATGACACCTACTACATCAGGCCATGCTATAAAGACAGGGAGTCATAGCTGGTCTACCTAATAAACAGAAACACACACAGGTGGGCTGCCAAAACAAGGAGACAAAGAAACCTGGCCAAATGAAAGAATAGATCAAAATCCAGAAAAAGAACTAAACAAAATGGAGATAAGCAATCTATCTGATGCAGAATTCAAAACACTGGTTATAAGGATGCTCAAGGAGCTTAGTGAGGACCTCACTAAAAGCATAAAAAAGATCCAATCATAAATGAAGGATTCACTAACTGAAATAGAGAACAATTTACAGGAAAACAACAGCAGAATGGATAAAGCCAAGAATCAAATCAATGTGAAAAAACACGCAATCAGAAAAAGAAGAAGAAAAAATAACCCCCCCAAATAAGGCTAGTGTAAGCAGCCTATGGGACAACTTCAAACATTTCCACATATATAACAAAGGGGTGCCAGAAGGAAAAGAGAAAGAGCAAGATATTAGAAATCTATTTGAAGAAATAATGAAAGAAAACTTCCCTAATTTGACGGAAGGAAATAGACATGCAAGTCCAGGAAGCACCGAGAGTCCCAATTACGATGGATGCAAAGCAGCCCACTACAAGACACAGCATAATTAAAATGCCAAAGGTTAAAGATAATAGAGAGTCTCAAGGGTAGCAAGAGAAAAGCAGTTAGTTACCTACAGGGGAGTTCCCATAACACTGTCAGCTCATTTCTCAAAAGAAACTTTGCAGGCCAGAAGGGATTGGCAAGAAATATTCAAAGTCATGAGAAGCAGGGATCTACAGCCAAGATTGCTCTACTCAGCAAATATACCATTTAGAATCGAAGGATAGATAAAAAGCTTCCCAGACAAGAAAAAACAAAGGGAGTACATCATCACCAAACCATTTTTATATGAAGTGTTAAAGGGGGGGGGCCAAGGAGGAGAGGGGGATGGAGGGGGGAAAGGGAGGGGGGGAGGGAGAGATGGAGAGGGAGAGAGGGAGAGGGAGGGAGGGAACATTAGGAAAATAAAATGGCAATAAAGACATATCTATCAACAATTGAATCTAAAAAAACAAACTAAGCAAACAAAAAGAGACAGAATCATGGATACAAAGAGTATTCTGATGGTGGCCAGATGGGAGGGGTTTATGGGGGAACAGGTGAAGAGGTAAGGCAATTGAAAAGTACAAATAAGTAGTTAAATACCACCCATGGGGAAGTACTGTACAGTATAGGAAATGGAGTAGCCAAAGAACCTTTACACATGACCCATGGGCATGAACAATGGTGGGGGGATTGCCTGATGGACTGTGGGGTACTAGGTGGAGGGGGGCAAAGGAGGGAAAATTGGGACAACTATAATAGCGTAATCAATAAAATATAATTAAAAATAAGTAAATACATAACGGAAAATAATTCTAAGTTTTTATTTTGCTAAGTTCATCAGGCCCATACAAACTCACTGCGTACACTATTTCAAAGACTGCAAGGTATGCCAGAATATGCCTTGTTTAGACAGATATTACACCCCTGCCTACAGTGTAATTTCTTTTTAAGAACAGAATATAAAGGTTCCTTATTTTTCAAAAAGCCCCTTGAAACAGTTGTAGTTAGTTAGGCCACGGTGAGATAGACATTACACTCATGTCTACAATATGCAGTAAGTTGTAACTTAAGGATTCTTACCTTTTATATCTTCCTGAAGCTGTTCTAGAAGGCTCCTGTGAAGTAAAAATAAAAATATTAGTTTGGGTGTGTGTATAAGCACATAACTCCAGATCATGTAAAAGAGCTGATAGACAATATCTAATTTTGAAAGAAAGTAATTTGAAGCAATTACCATTACTTTTAAAAACGTGCACTGATTGTCAAACAAGACTCTACATCTGGTACTTCAAACAAAACCAATCGCTTTTTTTAAATTGTATTTTTAAAGTATTTTAAAAGCTAAGAAGATAGACAAGGGAAGCATCATTTAGCAACCACCAGCTTTTAGTATTTTTGGAAAGTCAATGAACATTAAAATAGGCAACAATTATAATCCCTTCTATTCTGTTTTATGCCCTCAATTTCTTAAAAAGCTACAATTCGCCACATATATAATCATTGCTTATTTTTAAAGACAGCTAAAAATGAAGTATTTTTTTATGCTGATTCTAAAGTATCAACAAAAACTGCTATAAGTAAATATTAACCACTGAGGCAGGAAAATTACCTTATAGCTAAACTGGAGAGTAATCTCTCTATTCAGTCTTTTAATAGCTCAGGCTCTCCCAATATTTTTACAGTATCATTTTAATAAAACCAGTTAAAATTAAATGGTGCGTCTTTTTAAACACTGGTAACACTTTTTTCTAGTTAATCATTACAAGTCTCCAAGAGAAGCCCTACAATTAAAGAGTTTCTGATATGAGCGAAGTCAGAGAATAATCTTCCTTTATAAAATGAGTAGGTTCCAGATTGAAACAGCAAATACTGACTTGACTACATGGTGCAATGAAAGACATAACCTGGGGAAAAAGAGTACAGCAAACCATATGGTTAAGAGTAGGATTCAGCCATGTCCCAGTACTACGGGTAAGTTATTGAACTTCTATCAGTCTGTTTCCTCCTTTTCAGAAAGGAAAAACAACAATGTCTATATTTACAGGACGGTGGAATGACTTGAGTAAAACAAACTGGCACAACCCCTTTGTAATTAACCAATTACCGCAAGTAACCAGGTGACAGGGTACTGGAAGCCCCCTTGTGTGTGGGCTTGACAACTTAACAGGATTACCTCTGGGACAGCAATACTTTGAGAGCTGGTTCAAAGACACTTTATCCTCCCCTGGGTATCAACTGTTCTTACAGCAGGGACAGTAACAAAAACCTAGCGAGTAAACTTTCTACCAGCAATTTTGAACTGGTATGCTGCAATAATTATTAAAACATTCAATACCTACTTATTCAGGGGCACTGACTTCTTTTCCCTTAGGTTGTCAAATTAAAAAATGACAACCACCAACACAACAAGAGCCGTCAGCTGTGAATGAACTGAAATTATACCTATTTTTTGTCAGATAGCAAAGAATACATTTTTTTGGAGTGCACCAGAATTTTAGTAATTAGTGTGTGTGCACCATGAGATGAAAAAGGTTGAAAAGCACTGGTTTAAGAGGTTCTTTATCTACCTGTCATTAATGGGGCAGCCCCTAAAGATAAGGCCTATGTACTTTGTACACCAAACATGTAAAACAGATGTTCTATTTATAAAAATATGTAATCTCTAGTGAATACTAACTAATATACTTTATAAAATTTAGTTTTTAAATTATTTTTGAAACTATAATGACTAGATTAAATGTTTAATCACTGGTTAGTCAAATAAAGCAGAAAGAAATATTAAGCCTGTGTGTATCCACTCAAAATACATTTTACTGAAATTTCATGATAATGGTTTCATATGGAACTCAATCCCCTAATGTTACACAAAAGTGGTTCAACTAACATTTTATAAAGTTTTTCTTTTATAAAATTCCCTAATCTTATTTGATATGAACCAAAACTAAAGCCTATACCTTAAATGATACCTGTCTAAATATGCATTAGAAAAAAATGCTAATACTGTCCTAAGTTCTAAAATATATCTCTCATTTTCATTATAACTGAGATATTTCAAAACATGACATCAACTTGATTATGCAAACTATGTTTTACTGAAATGGAGTAAGCAGAATTGCTGATGAAAATAGCCCTTACTGGATTTACTGATTTGTGGGTTACTGATGTACAGATTGAAATAGTATAAAAAACCCAAGGCTTAAAATGGGCATTTTCCTTAAAGTGGTAAAACTTCAACAAAAACAGCTTTAGAGTAGAATTTTTAAAAATAAATGTGAAATGGAGGACAACTTCAGCAACACTAAATGACAGTGACATTCTAATTTTATACTTTGGCTCAACTGTAAATGAAAGTCAGTATCAGATAAGTTCCCAGTTAAGTATACTAATAGAAAGCTAAATAATACCAGTTTTCTACCTCTTTCAGCTTTTTAAAACTAGTCCCTTAAAACTTATCTCAACTAAGTTTTATACAGTATTTTCTACAGAGCCAGAAGTTAGAGAACTCTAACATACTTGATCAAATCACTCCATGCTTATGTCCAAGATGTGTAAAACAATTAGAATTTAAACTTATTTCTGTATAGCTAATACTTAAGTGGTAGTTAAAATTCTGACACAGGCAGACAACATTTAGCTTTATTCTTTTTGGTATATTTGAATATGGTCTTTTATTAAATTATCCATTTTGCAGCTAAATGTTATTTCACAGTGATTCTGGTAATCAAATTACATTTTTTTAACAACGAAATGTTCCCCAAGTTAGATAGATTACATTAGTGATTTAAAGGGATGGTAGTTTGCTTATCATGTGTTTTTAAAATCAAGAATTAGAGGTAGATTTCAAAGTAATCTCTATAACCTTTCCAAGAAGAGAAAATTGGGCATATCTTGAATAAGTAATGTTAGATAGAAAAGACAAAATCAACCCAGACAGTGGAGCAAAAGAAAGAGTCCCGTATAATTCTGAGGAGGAAAATGTTTTAAGTTTCTAAACATTGAAATAAAATTCTATACAAATATAAACTCCACCTTACGATTTTTTAACTAGAAGTCTCTGTATTTCTGTGGCCACAAAAATTTCCAAGCAAAAGGTGAAAACTCAGTAATTACTGTTAATTAAATTCTAAATGTGGGGATGGGGTAGGAAAAATATCAGTATCGCTGAAATTCCTTGTAAAAAATACAACTAAGACTGATAACTGGTCTTAAGAATTTGTTTCAAAGACTAATTAGACCTTCAAATAACCCCAAAGCCTGTTATACAACTGACTTAAAATTATACTTTTCCTGAAATAATCTTCCTTGCATTGTGATGGGTTATATTACTAAAGGGAGGGAGGAAAGACCTATGTAGAGCTTAGAAAATGTTGGCAACACGCAAAATGTTTTGTGTAAGTTTAAACAAAACATTCCACTATATTCATGTTGAGAATACGGAAATCCCATAAACACTGTCTTTACAGGTGCAGTGTCTAATCAGAACTAGTCAAGTATAAACAAATAGAAAAGCACATGTGACATAAGATCAGACAAATAAATGCAGGCCCAAGAAAATGTAACAAAATAATACTTGTTATTAAAGTCAACTAATTACCAAAAAAGCCACAGCCCTCAGTAAAATTATGGCACAGCATGCTAACTGGTTCTCAGGACTAACTTAAAATATCTACACTGGTATACATAACATAACAAGACAGATTGTTGGGAGATGAATACAGAACAAAATATCTGTATTCACAGTTATAATTGATAAAAACAAAAAATAAAAAGTAAAACAAGAACTTTATCAAATTAACAAAGATTATAAAATTAAAAACTCAGAAATCCCCCTTCCTTTCCTGAACAATTCAGTCCTACAGCCATTAGGTGAAGCAGAGCAAAGTGGGGAATAAACATAGTGATCCAAGCCTGGGTGTTGGAATACTGAAACCCCTACGTGAAGAAGGGCTATAACCCATCAGATAAACTAGGTAATAAGGACTTCATAAAGATATATAGATAGCAACAGATATATAATAGGTAAATGAAGAGATACATGAAGATTAATAGATAAATGAAAAGATAATCTGATGAGGATTAAGATATCTACATGGTTCTAGAAATTTAGTCACAAAATTTCTTAGCTTTTTTTTTCCTTTCAATTTTATTTTGTATTGGTTTCAAGCGTACAGTTTAGTGGTTAAACAATCATATACTTTACATAGTATTATTCCCTTTGACATTTCCAGTACCCCAACTGGCACCATACATAGTTATCACAATATAATTGACCATATTCCCTATGTTTTCCTTACATTCCCCTTGACTATTTTGTAAGTACTAATTTGTACTTTTCAATACCTTCACCTTTTTTACCTAGTCCTCCAATCCCCTCCCTAAACTCTGGCAACCACGGGTTCACTCTCTGTGTCTATGAGTCTGTTTCAATTTAGTTTGTTCATTTAGTTTGTTCTTTAGTGAAATCATATGGTATTTGTCTTTCCCTGTTTATTTCACTGAGCATCATACCTTTTAGGTCCATCCATGCATGGCAAATGGTAAAAATCTCATTCTTTTTTATGACCAAGTAATATTCCATTGTATTCATATACATGTACCACAACTTTTTTATCCAGTCTTCTATTGCTGGGCCCTGGGGTTGCTTCCACATCTTGACTATTGTAAATAATGCTGCAATGAACACTAGCATGCATATATTCTTTCAAATCAGTGTTTTGGGTTTCTTTGGATAAATCCCCAGAAGTGGAATAACTAGGTCATAAGGAAGATCCTTTTTTTTTTATCTTGACCCAAGGACATTTTTTCATTGCTTTTAGACAGAAAGAAGACAGTGAAAGAAACAATGACTGGCTGTCTCCCATACACACTCAGATCAGGAATCAAATGCACGCCACCCAGGGATGGAACCACAACACAGGCATTTATGTGCCCTGGCCAACAACTGAACCCAAAACCTTTTGGTTACAGGACTACAACCCAACCAGCCGAGCCACACCAGCCACCGCAAGGAAGATTCATTTTTAATTTCACAAAATAATTATTAAGAAGGGGAAGTAAAGCCTGGTAAATACCATCTTAATCACATGACCAAGGTGATCATCATTATCAATGGGAC